CGAAACAAATTTAAGTCCCCGGTAACAGCGCCAAAAACTTGATTGCGGTTTGTAAACGGGGTTGGTCGGTTTTCGTTTTACTAAGCTTCAGGTTTTAAATTTATAACCCGTAAATGTCTGCAAGTGCACAGATGTGCGCTGTAGTACTTAGGGTATCGATCCACAGAGACTTAGTTGTTTTAGTACGAATTCACGGCAAAGCTTAAATCAGATTAGAACTAAACAGATTTGGGTTTTGGGTTTTGGTTGTCACTAAATCTAAACTAGAAAGCAAAGCAAGTAAAAGCAAAGAAAAACGAAAGCAAGTGCAAGCAAGTAAAAAGCGATTATGAATGAAAGCAGGTAACAAGCGAATAAAAGCAGAATGAAAATCTAAGGTTGTAAACAATGAAAGAAAAACGTTAGGCATCAAGGGGTTTTGCAGGGGTTCATGGTCTATGCTAGGTCGAATTTAAACAAGTGATAAAGGTAATCAACTATGTATGTTCTAGAACTCGAGGCACGGAAGTATGAATAGCCTACTTTCGCAGCACTAAACAACTATCTCTCGCAACCCTGATCAGTAGGTTTCCACTCTAATCGTGGAAGGGAGAAGATGCAATAGCAGAACAAGACTCATCAACATTCACAACTCGACTACAGGTAGGTTTCCACTCCTATAGAATTATTGCTCGTTTCACCCTAGTTCAGACAATCAATGAAAACTTTCGCAACATATCATATCAGATCGGCTTCTAAGTGGCCAGCAGAGAATCACGCAGTAAGATTAAAGGAAAACGAAGAACATCTAGAAGATTATAAATCCTAAATCTATCGATTCATAAGCAAAGACACATGAAATTCCATTTGAACAATCCCATTAAACCCAACTGGGTAACTACTCAAACATATTGTAACAAAGCATCATAGAGTATTGAAAGTGCAGGAAATTAAAGAAAAGAAGAGGGAAGAAGAACGAAGAACGGAGAAGCAGATGGAGGTGCGATGTCTTCCTCCAGCAGCGGCTCCTCCTTCAAGCGGCGGCCTCTAGGGTTTGTGAAGCACCCACACGAATTCTCTCTCTATTTTTATCTTATGTCGTCTCCACACCTTTAAGGAATGACCTAAAGGGGGTATTTATAGCTTCTGGGGTGCTTCTGGACACTTAGGGCTTCAAAAATAACGAAAGGAATTGATCTGGGCTTTAGTTAAGTCGTCTGGAAAGTGAACGACCAAGTTCCGCGGTCGCGGTGGCTCTACCCGCGGGAAAATGGGTGTTGGCCGCGGTCCCGGCACCTGTCTCTCTTCCGAAACTGCATTTTCTGTCATTCTTGCATCGGGAGTATCTGAAGATCTAACCGTTGGATTGTCTCCAAACCAAGTGCATTAGAAAGCTGGTTGGATCCTCTATGTTGTCTCAACTTTTGGGGGTGATCAGACGGTGAGAAGGCCTTCATCGCTTATCATACTTCTGACGGTCTGCATTTATCCAAAATTACTCATTTGTTCCAAATTGCATATCTTTTGCCCAAGTTTCCTGTAAATTCTTTTGAAACTCTAAAACATTGAAAACATATTAAAAACCTTTGAAAACAGAGTTAAAACACCTGTATAAGACATAATTATGATCCATAAAAATGGTCAAAATACGGTGTTATCAACTATGGCTAAAAACGCTGAGCTTTTGGGAACTCTACAGGGATCATTTTTTTTTTACTTTTTGAAAGAGGGAGTACCTTTAGACATAGAGTCATAGAGAGCACAAAATTACCAATTAAAATCGGTCTTGTGAGTGACTGAAAACCGCGTCGCTCCTCTTCTCTCCGACGTTTTTGCACATATCTGCTGAGATAAACTAAAGAGAGAATGCATGAGGATTGAAAACAAAGGTTTTGGGTATAGGGTATGGTACCAGATAAAGATGAATTGGCCATCTAGGATGACAAATAGTGGTAAAAATGAGGGTAAAAGACGTCCTAGATGTATATCTCGATGCCTGCCTAAAATCAATGCTAAGAAAATTAGATATCAATATTAAGGTCAAATAAAATGAGCTAGTATATCCTGTCAGAAAGAATCTCCATGAATAGAAGTCCTCTGGTGGGAGTTCGTAGTGCAAGTACTCTAGTTACCGCCTAGTCTAGTGCTAACCACAAATGAACTATCATGCATAGTATAGAAGCGTGCAGGTCTAAATCATCATAGTTTTGTGTCAAACATTCCTGAAAAATACTGAAGGTCGAATGGTTTACATATTTAAATTTAAAAAGTACTTGAAATTTTGAAAGCAAAAACAAGAAAATGATTAGTACTGATAGACATCCTCTCCCAAACTTAAATCACACTGTCCCTAGTGTGAAAAAGTTGGTGAGAAGATGGTGAATAAAAGGGAAAATAAAATAAGATAAAAGAAAAGAAAATGATGATAGAACCGTGATGGCTGTCAGTGAAGTGCTGATCAATCACTCATCCTCCGATGTGTCTGCTTCGAACTGGTGCTGCTCCTGTAGGAAGGTGACAACGCGCTCAAAGCGTCGTCCTTGTCTCTTAACTCTGCGCTCCAGGTAAGAATGTGTGTGTGATGATGTCGATGATGAAGTGTGGCCGGTCGAAACAGATGGCTGAAAGTGAGCACGGGCCGCAGCTGCATCGTGCTTTGCCTTGGCCACTATGTATTGGCCGATGGTGATTGGTAGACGAGGCACAGACGGCATAAACTCATCGGGTTCCAGAGTCCACTGCGGACGTCCTCCGTTACAAAATCTCGGGACTGATGCTGAAGGTAAACAGACTCGGTGCTCCTCGGTGCCAGTGCAATACTTGTAACCAAACCTATCTGGATTGAAAGCAAACAATAGTGTGATCGCGAGAGAGATAAAGTAGATCATGCCAGACGTCGGGAAGTGGATCATCAGATGAGAAGTCGAATCCTACAGCCTGTAGTATCGCTGTAATAGCGATCCCGTAAGCTGGAGTAGCGTCCTCGCAACCATTGTTGGGGTCGGTTTTCACCTCAAGAAGATAAAACCATCTCAAAATGACTAAGTATGGAAGAAAGACAAAGTAGCCGAGCCGTGCTCACCAAGACAAGTGGGAGAGCCGTGGTCACCAAATGGGAGATCCGTGCTCACCAAGACAAGTGGGAGAGCCGCGGTCACCAAGTGGGAGAGGCGTGAAGATAGTCCAGTAAGGAGAGCCGTGAAGAAAGATAGATGGGCCGAGCCGTATCGTAAGAAATGGGCGAGCCCCACTCCAACATGCTTGGGCCGAGCCGCGCCTCGGTGAGGTGGACCAGATCATGTCTCGACCAAAATGGCAAGTAGGCCGAGCCGTGGAGAAGTTAGATGGGCCGAGCCGTGGAAAAGTTCAGATGGGCTGAACCGAGGCCTTGAGAGAGGAAGCCCATAAAAACCCTAGACGAAATACAAAGGCGGTGAAACGCACGAGGCGATAAGGAAATATTCCAAAAATCTCTCCCGAGATTCTCGGCTAGGCGGTTCGGAGAATTAGTATAAATAGATGATGTATACAATTCATTCTGTAACTTTTGCAACCCTAAGCAATAAGAGCTAAACACTTTTACAGCAAGAAAAACTTTCTTTCGATCTTACTGTTCTTGACGATAAACCCTAGAAGTTTCTGATCCCTTAAGTTTTCTTTACACAAAATTCTGGTTGTGCGAGTTTTGGCTCACACAATTTGGCGCCGTCTGTGGGGAATCGAAACTTTCTTACTCTAAATCGACAAGACTTTAAGATCCGAAGAACATGGAGAGCAACACCCACGATGATAACAACAACACCGGTAACGGCGCGGAGAAGGACGCTCCGGCATCAGGCACAATGACGACAACGATCGAAACCCAAGAGGAGATGCGAAACATGATGGCTGCGTTGATGAAGAAAATCGACGAACAGGATAAAAGAAACTAAGCGATTACGGAGAGGCTCGACACGATGGCGGCTGAGCGACTACACCCAACTTGGAGAGCCGGAATTCCCGACCCGATGGATGGAATCCGGAGACGCTTCGATTTCTCGGCGCAAGAAATCCCTCGGCTCCCCCGATGTTTCGTCCCCTCGACGAACAGACTCCCGCAGCAACCCAAGTCAACATGACCGAGCCGCCTCCACTCCGCCGGAACTCAAGGCGACGAGCCGGCGAGGAAGAGAACGATGCGATTGACGTAGACGCCCAGCAGAACGACGGAACCACGAATCCGCAACAAACCGGCTCGGCTCGCCGAATAAGTCAAGAAGAGCTCGCCTCGGCACTAAACAGCGTCCGAACTGACGAAGTCTCCGATCGGACCCGCGGCGACAGTCCAATCAAAGAGGAAGAAAACCTCCAATGGATCGAGCAGGCAGAGTGCGAAGACAAACCGAGGAGAGAGGAGCGGGAGCGACCCCCCCAATCAAAGGGAATGACTCTTGCACAAACTCTCGAACTCAAAGAGCTGCGAGCCTCGATGGCTCGGATAGTAGCTGAAATACGCGCCATGAAATCCCAAGTGCACAACGCGACAAGCGCCGCGCCCGAAATCGACCGAATGCTTGAAGAAACTCAGAGAACCCCATTCACTGCAAGAATCACGGAGGCCAGGATTCCCGAGCCAGGGAAGGTGAGAATCCCATTCTACGAAGGAACAACCGACCCGAAAGCACACATCACAGCGTTTCGGATAGCAATGGGACGAGCCTTCACAAAGAACGCCGCTAAACTCACCGAGCGCGAAGTAGATGCCGGATACTGCCTGCTCTTCGGGGAGCATCTCAAGGGAGCCGCACTCGAGTGGTTTTCAACAGCTCTCCGCCTTGTTCCTTAAACAATACTCGATGTTTATGGGCAGAGGAACATCTGATGCCGACCTGTGGACACTATCCCAAAGACCGAACGAACCGCTACGGGATTACATGGCAAGGTTCAAGGCAGTCGTATCCAAAATAGAAGGGATAAGCGACAAGGCTGCGCTCGAGGCTCTGAAACGATCTTTGTGGTACAAATCCGAGTTCCAACGAGAGATGGCTCTCAACACTCCACAAACAATTCAAGACGCATTGCACCGATCATCAGACTTCGTCGTAAACGAGGAGGAAATGAAAAACTTGGACAAGCAGTACGAAGCAACGAATGCAGCAATCCGAAGCTCAATTTTGCCGCGCCCCGCGAAGAAGGGCAACCCATCGAACAACACAACAACGCAGAGCTCGGATGAACCTAGAAGCGGAGGTGCCCATAACTACCAGGTAGGCACCGGACGCGGAAGAGGAGAGCCGTGCAACAACACTTCGGTGAGAAAGTCCGCCAACTACGACGAGAAGGCTTTCTGCGAGTATCACCAGACCTACGGGCACTCAACGGCTCAATGCCAAACTTTAGGAGCAAAGCTCGCAGCTAAGATGGCAGCGGGAGAGCTCCAAAACGCGGTCAACCTCAAAGACCTCGTCCCTAACGAACAACAAGAGAGAGCCGAGCCGAGCAGCGCGGCGGAACCCGCGAATCCTCCCCGACGAGGCGATAACTCCAAGCGCGACAGGAGAGGCGAACCTGAAGAGCGACCCGAGCCGAGGCAAAGGATCAATATGATCACGGGTGGATCTCAATACTACCAAGATACCGTGTCCTCCATCAAAGCCTATCAGCGCAGAGCCAAAGCAAAGGAGAATTTGACAGAAACAACCGACATCCCAAACACAGTGATCTCCTTCGCCGAGGAGGAAACTCAGTGAATGTCATCTTCACAACGATCCGTTGGTGATTGAGTTAACGATCAGGGATCATGACATAGCAAGGGTGCTCATCGATACTGGAAGCTCAGTGAATGTCATCTTCAGGGAAACACTCAGAAGAATGGGAATCGACCTCTCCGAGGTAGAAGCAATCCCCAAACCTCTAACCGGATTTTCAGGAGAAACAACGAAGACTATGGGAACGATCAGGCTTCCTGTGGTAGCTGGCGGAGTCACTAAGATCGTCGAATACTGCGTCACTGATCACCCAGCAATCTACAACGTGATCATGGGAACTCCATGGATCAACAGGATGAGGGCGGTACCCTCCACCTATCATCTCTGTCTCAAATTCCCAACTCCATCGGGTGTCACAACGATATGGGGGAATCAGAAGGAGTCAAGAATGTGTTGCCTAGCCGAGCACAAGCTGAGGAACCCCGTCACTAACGCACGAGCAGACATAAACTGCAAAAAGATGAAGACAGACCGAGAGCCCGCGAACGAGCTCTCGAAACGCTTATAGCAATTACAGATCGCGGAGAACCGCAAAACACGCGCCGAACCGGTATGCGACGCAGTGGACTCGGTGTGCATAGACGAGGCGCGTCCGGAGCGATGCGTCGAAATTGGAACAAAACTAGAAGAGCCTCTGAGAAGCGAACTCCTTTCCCTCCTCAAGGAGAACATCAACACTTTTGCCTTGACAGCAGAAGATATGCCAGGCATAAGCATCGACGTAACCTGTCACGAGCTGAATGTGGATCCGACCTTTAAGCCAGTCAAGCAGAAAAGAAGGAAGCTTGGCCCCGAACGAGATAAAGCAGTTAACGACGAAGTCGAGAGGTTACTCAAAGTAGGATCAATCGCCGAGGCCAAATATCCGGACAGGCTCGCAAATCCGGTGGTCGTGAAGAAGAAGAACGACAAGTGGCGAGTATGTGTGGATTTCACCGACCTCAACAAGGCGTGCCCAAAAGACAGCTTTCCCTTGCCACACATCGACCGGCTCGTCGAAGCCACTACAGGGAATAGACTGTTAACATTTATGGACGCGTTCTCCGGCTACACTCAGATCCTGATGCATCCTGATGATCGGGAAAAAATGGCATTCATAACTGATCGCGGGATATACTGCTACAAAGTCATGCCGATCGGGCTCAAGAACGCAGGAGCAACGTATCAACGGCTCGTCAATAAAATGTTCGCGGCTCAGCTCGGAAAAACCATGGAAGTATACATCGACGACATGTTAGTCAAATCACTCAAGGAGGAAGACCACGTCGCGCATCTACGGGAATGCTTCGAACAATTGAACAAGCACAACATGAAACTAAACCCGGCGAAGTGCAGGTTCCTCGGCTATCTGGTAACTCACCGAGGCATAGAAGCAAACCCCAAGCAGATCAAGGTGTTAATTGAGATGCCCTCTCCAAGGACGAAGCGCGAAGTGCAAAGGCTCACAGGAAGAGTCGCCGTTCTAAACAGGTTTATTTCTCGTGCCACAGACAAATGCCTGTCCTTCTACGACCCCCTCCGAGGAAACAAGAAATTTGAGTGGGACGAACGATGCGAGACGGCTTTCCAGGAATTGAAGAATTATCTGGCGAGCCCACCAATCTTAGGAAAACCAGTCGAAGGAGAGCCGCTCTTCCTCTACATCGCAGTGTCTGCTACAGCTGTAAGCGGAGTGCTTATCAGAGAAGAACGATCCGAGCAAAAACCCATTTTCTACATCAGCCAGACACTGACCGACGCCGAGACCCGCTACCCCCAGATCGAGAAGGTCGCCCTAGCCGTCGTAGTCTCGGCTCGCAAACTGCGCCCGTACTTTCAATCACATTCGATTGTTGTGCTCGCTATGCTTCCGATGCGCTCGATCCTACACAGCCCTAGCCAATTCGGTCGGCTCGCCAAGTGGGCCATAGAGCTAAGTGAATACGACATCGAGTATCAGAACAGGTTGTCTGCAAAGTCACAGGTGCTCGCAGATTTCCTCATTGAAGTGTGGACGCTGCACGTCGACGGCTCGTCGTCTAAACACGGCTCGGGAATAGGAATCCGCCTCACCTCTCCCACCAGAGAAATATTGGAGCAGTCTTTTCACCTGAACTTCCACGCCTCGAACAACGAAGCGGAATACGAAGCACTGATCGGCGGCATACGACTAGCACAGGGAATCGGAGTTCGAAGGATAAGAACCTTTTGCGATTCACAGCTCGTAGCATGTCAGTTCAACGGAGAATACGAGAATTAGAGCAAAAGTTTACCTCAAGGTGGTCCGAGAATTGGTGCAAAAGTTTGACGAGTTCGAACTCACGCGCAGTCCCCGAGGAGAAAACACCTCGGCCGATGCCTTGGCAGCACTCGCTTCGACCTCGGACCCAGACCCCTAGCATCGAAGAGGTGGAAGGAGTTCGGCTGATAAATCCTCCTGAACAAGAACCAGAGGACGACGAAGCCATTCCTATGGATGAAGACGCCTCACCGGCCGAGCCGGAGTATGGCTGCGACAAAGAATGGCTCGGAGCTATCCTAGTGTAAAACGCCGATGGAGAGGTGCCAACCGACAAATGGGAAGCCTGCAAACTAAAAGCTCAGGCCGCGCGGTATGTCCTCGTCGATGAAGAGGTGTTTAAATGGAGATTTTCAGGGCCTCTCATGACATGCGTCGAAGGACCGGAGGCAAGAAAGATCATGCACGAGGTGCACAGCGGCGCGTGCGGGAACCATTCCAGCGGAAGGTCGCTCGCTATCAAGATAAAACGGCACGGCTACTTCGAGAAATTTACGGCGAAGTGCGAGAAGTGTCAGCGGCACGCCCCAAAAATTCATCAACCTACTGAGTTGCTCTCATCAATTTCGTCACCTTATCCGTTCATGAGATGGTCGATGGACATCGTCGGACCTCTACATCTCTCGAAGCAGAAGCGTTTTCTGCTCGTCCTCACGGATTACTTCTCCAAGTGGGTCAAAGCCGATTCCTACGCAAGCATAAAGGATGTTCAAGTGGAACACTTCGTCTGGAAAAATATCATCTGCCGACACGGGGTCCCCTACGAGATAGTCACCGAGAACGGATCCCAGTTCATCTCAACACGCTTTGAAGCCTTCTGCGAAAAGTGGAAAATCCGCCTCAGCAAATCTACGCCAAGAAGGCACGGTGGGCAGACGAACTCGAAGGAGTCCTTTGGTCTCATCGAACAACTCCGCACCGAGCCACCGGGAAAACTCCATTCGCTTTGGTCTACGGATCGGAGTGCGTAATTCCCCCCGAGGTGAATTTCCCAGGTATTCGACGAAGACTTCTACCAGGACAGGAGGGCTTGAACCACTTAATGATGCTAGATGAGCTCGACCTAATCAACGAAAAGCGCGACCAAGCCTTAATTCGAATCCAGAACTACCAACAAGCAACGGCGAGATACTACAACAAAAACGTTCGTAGTCGAAGGTTCAAAGAAGGGGAGCTCGCCCTCCGAAAGGTCTTCCAAAACACTGCCGAAAAGAACGCAGGCAAGCTCGGAGCAAATTGGGAAGGTCCTTACAAGGTCACAAAAGTGGTTGGTCCAGGAGTCTACGAACTCGCGACACTAGCTGACGAAGCGATTCCAAGATCATGGAACGCAATGCATCTAAAGAGGTATTATCACTAAAGCCACAGCACGACCAGCATGAACTACGGGACGGCTTGATCCCTGCAAAGGGTACGTAGGCAGCCCGTCCTCGGACGGGTTCAGCTGTCCCCCCCTCCTAAAAAGGGGGGGAGTGGGTACGTATACACATACCTCCTTTAACTCTACAATTTTAGCTTGCTCACTTAGGAACATCGCCACTTCGGCACATTCTCAGTTCGTTTTGAATCATCTACTTATTTCACGTTTACCTTGGATTTCTAGTTCGTTCATTATCGCTTCGGCTAGTTTTTCATTGTTTCTAAATCAGTAACTTATTTTAACAAGTTCGGATTTTTAAACTCTTTCACTCATCACTTCCGCAAGTAATCATACCACTTCGGCATGATATCATGACCTGATTACCTCGGACCTTAATCGGTCCTCAGTTTCAGTTCGGCAAACTAAGCCTCCGAACGCCTCGTCTCGTTGCTGGCCACAACGGGGCAACAAATACAAAGTTATCTAAACGGACTTTTACCACCTTTCCTAGGACGAGGGTGCAAGTTACATCCTCCACGGATAAAAATTAAGCGCGCTATACAAATATCAGACCAAAAACGTATCAGGTCACCACAGTTTACTATCGCACACGAGATTATAAGTCGAGACTACATCGCTTTCTCTAAAACCGAAGTAAACTCTTAAAACCTGGACAAAATACTCATCCTCTCGGAAACGCCGGTCCATAGTCAAATTCAATGAGACTACCAAATCATTCTTGGCTAACAAAAACAAAACGCCTCGTCGTTCTTACGGCTCGACACCACGCAAAGAGAAAACATCTTGTTTTTTACACAGCTCGGCACCATACACAGCGAAAACGCCTCATCGTTAAATACGGCTCGGCATTGCCAGCAAAAATTTGCCTCGACATTATCACTTAAAAATTTTCCAGAATCACCTCAAAGACGCGTTACAAAACTACCTCCCAGCTCGGGATTAAGAATCCAAACGAGATCCTCAAAACAACTCACCCCTTAGCCCGTATTTCTATCAATTTCAAAAATTTTGGCTAAGGAAGCAATCAAAATCATTCTCGACACAGCAATTTTCATCCTTGACAATTTTTTCTAAGCCAACAGTTTTCGTAAACATTCTCACGGAAACAACTGAATTAGAAAACAGCTAAGGAAAAGAATAACATAACCAAATGCAAAAGAAATAACAATTGTCAGGTGGATAAAGCCATCCAGGCACCAGTAACATATGAGTTCAAAAAGCAGATAAAAATCCTAAGTACAGAAGCATGTGAGACAAAAAAGGAGAAAGCAGAGAGTATCAGGCCGCGGACCGCGTTTCACGCTCGGCAAGGAGGTTCGAGAGGACCGGCGTACCCGCGTTCGATCCGTTCGGATCTACAACGCTTAAGTCGGCCGCTGTCTCTTCGAGCGGCTCATTACCAAGGCTGGTGTCGACCGAGTCCAGCGATACGGGCGAGAAAACCAGCTCGCCTCGAATCTCGGAGGCGATGCGCTCATACGCGTCGTCGTCGGCATATTCGCTCTCCCAGCTTTTTAGCTGGGCCTCCTCATCATCGAGCGTTGGGGCGTCTGGTTTCTTCAGGATGGAAATCATCGCAAGGTTGCCCTTGATTTGCCCCAGATCGTTCTCGTCGTTTTTGGCCTTCTCGAGCTTGGCCAGACCCTCCTCTACTTTGGCGAGGCGCTCCTGAAACTTAGCGGTCAGCTCTCGCCTCGCCTCCTTCTTCGGACGTTTGACCTTGGCTTCGAACAGAGCATCCTTGGCCTCAATACACCTTTTAAGCAACGCCACCTCGGCGCTTTTGGCTCTCCTTGCTTCCTCCAGGCGAATCACCGAGGCGGAAACTTTGTCAACGTCGGCGCGGAGAACTATCTTCTCCTCTTCCAACCTCGACACTCTGGACATCGCCTCGTCAAGTTTCTCCTTTGCCGCCGCGGCTTCGTTCTGAGCCTTTTCCAGCTTTGCCCTTGACGCTGCAGTCTCATTTCGGGCCTCGGCCAAGCGACGTTCGACCTTAGACAGGTCCGCCTCGTACTCGGCCATCAGGTCGTTAATGGCCGCGACAAACTGCAAATAACAAACTCGCGTGAAACACTTAGTAAAAATTTTCGAAAATAAAGGAAAGCAAATAGAACGTACCTTGGTACCGCGCTGTGCTATCGCCCCGTACGACCTCGGCCTCCTCAGCTTCTCCGGAGGAGGAAGACGCGTGTTCGCATTATTTACACGCGAGAACATGACGGCAGAAGCGTCGGGGTCGTCGACGACCAACTTGCGCGCGGTGGGGTCCCCGAGCGTCGGCTTCCGCCTCTTCTTGGACGGCTCGTCCTTCTGAACAGCAACGCCCTTCCCCTTGTCAGCGGCCGAACGTTTTTGGCTCGGGTCATGTTTCTGAACAACTGAAGTCGGGGGCCTCGTCGACTTCGAGAGGGCTAAAATGGCGGAGTTCGAAGGAGTTTTGCTCCGCACCGCCAAATCATCCCCGGACGCCTCGGGAATAATTTCGCCCGGTTCCACCTCGGGCGCTGCATCTCTCTCGACCGCCTCGGCAGTGTTGCCTTCTGCAGCTCGGACCATTTCGTCTCCTTCCCGGCTCGGCGAGTCGGGTTGAGGGATGGCCTCAGTTTGCGCTGGAACCGCCTCGGTCTGCGCTTGAGCTGCCTCGGTAGCTCGTCTCGCGGCCTCTTCTTCCTCGCGCCTCTTCCTTTCTCTCAGAGCGATTATCACCATCTTCTCTCGGGTATCTCTTGAAGAACTGGAGGACGAAGAGCTGACGGGGACTCCGGCAAAGATGGCTCGTGCTTTTTCTACTCTTTCGAGGGTGAAATTCTTCCTCCAATTAACCTTCCGCGCCGAAAGAGAGTCTCGAACAGTAAAGAGGTCGTCGGGAATCGGGGAAGAAAGCACCGAACTGCAAAACAAAGCAAAAAAGAAAAAAATTTCAGTAAGGGAAGAGGATACCAAAAAAAAGTTCTGAGCCGAGGCAAAGCTTCGGGTCGGCTACGAAGTGGTCCCCAAGCGGTCTTGGTTCTTTGAACGTAATCCTCGCCGACCGACGCCTCGTTCACCAAGACGTAGAAGAAGCGTTCAGTCCAAAACTGATCCTTGCTGGGAAAACCGCCTATGATCCGTCGCTTTGCCTTGTTGGAAATATAGAATCTATTTCCTTTCGGAGCTTTCCTGATTTCCAGCAAGTTCAGCAGGTGATTCAGCTCGATATCAAGTCCGCATTCGAAGCTTCGAACTAAGATGCCAATCATATGCCGTAATCCCCTCGGCATGATTTGCCCAATCGAGATCCCGTGTTTCTAGAGATATTCAAGGATCACTCCGGGGATCGGGAACCAGAGAAAGCAAAGCTCGAAGAACGCCTCGTACAGAGTGAAGTGATTCTCTGGAGGCTTGTCGGCTTGGTCGCTCTTCTCTGGAACGACGAACTCCACCGCCTCGGATATCCCGAAGCGATGCCTCAACGCCTCGAGCGACTCAAGGGAGCAAAGCGTAGAGCCAGGCGGGTCAGGTTTTTTTCTCTGAACTCGTGGCCCTCGCCCAGATGTGGAAGCGCCTCGGGACGCCATGAGACGTTCCAATTCACGCTTCGCCTCGAAAAGGTCAAAGGAAATGCCTCCTCCTCGGCTTTAAGTGCGGCGCGATTAATGTCTTCATCAGGAACGGGATCCTTGGGACGGCTCGTCGAAACCGACGGCTCGTCATCCGGAGAGCAAACATCTGACGGATTTGCATGATTTGACGCCTCGTCAGATGAACGATTGGAAGGGCTCGGTGAAACAGACGCCTCGGAGGATTCTGTCGTACCTCTCGCCTCGGCATCTACGCGACTCGGCTCGTAATGAAAAAGTGAATCCAACGAATCGTCGGAGCGGCTCGACATAATTTACGACTTGTACAAGAGTTACAGCACGACTCGGCGAGCCTCATCCGGAAAAAGATCTGGAACGGCGGAGACCTCGGAAACCCTAGCCGGAAAATAAATAAACTAGAGAGAGAAAGAAGAGAGAAGGGAGAGCTACCTTTAGTAAAAACGAGTGAGTCTGAAGATAATGAGGAAGAATGAAGGAGCTCACCCATTTATAGGAAAACCGAAGCGCGTGAATTCCATGTAAACCTCGGGAAACCGTCCAAACAGCCCGTGGGATCCGCTGTGAAATGGCTAGACCGAACTGCGTCGGTCACACGCGCCAATAGATCAGGAATTTTCTCTCGGAAGACCAACAGTTGGGATACCCAAGTTTTCAGCCTGTATCTTACCAAAGTAAACGCCTCGTCGTTAACAAAACGGCTCGGCATTAACTCTCTCTTGAAACGCCTCGTCGTTAACGAAACGGCTCGGCACGAACTTTCTCTCGAAACGCCTCGTCGTTAACAAAACGGCTCGGCATTGACTCTCTCTCGAAACGCCTCGTCGTTAACGAAACAGCTCGGCACGAACTTTCTCTCGAAACGCCTCGTCGTTAACAAAACGGCTCGGCATTGACTCTCTCTTGAAACGCCTCGTCGTTAACGAAACGGCTCGGCACGAACTTTTTCTCGAAACGCCTCGTCGTTAACGAAACGGCTCGGCATTAACTCTCTCTCTCTAAACGCCTCGGCTCGGCATGAACTTTCTCTCGAAACGCCTCGCCATTTATTCGGCTCGGCATAACCTTCTCAAATCGCCTCGTCACGGCTCATCATTACTAAACGAAATCGCCTCGTCCTTAACTTGCCTCGGCATCTTCGGTACCCTCTCGAAACACCTCGGTACCCTCGGCACTCCTTGGGAACGCCTCGGCGTCTTCATTCCCAAAACACCTCATCTGGGCTTACGTCATAATAGCTTGACTCGATGGTTTATCCTACGGTCAGGAGTAATGGACCTCGTCACTCTCGCCTCCGAAACTGACGAGCTGGGAGGCTAACTGTTGGGGTCGGTTTTCACCCCAAGAAGATAAAACCATCTCAAAATGACTAAGTATGGAAGAAAGACAAAGTAGCCGATCCGTGCTCACCAAGACAAGTGGGAGAGCCGTGGTCACCAAGTGGGAGAGCCGTGCTCACCAAGAGAAGTGGGAGAGCCGCGGTCACCAAGTGGGAGAGCCGTGAAGATAGTCCAGTAGGGAGAGCCGTGAAGAAAGATAGATGGGCCGAGCCGTATCGTAAGAAATGGGCCGAGCCCCACTCCAACATGCTTGGGCCGAGCCGCGCCTCGGTGAGGTGGACCAGATCATGTCTCGACCAAAATGGCAAGTAGGCCGAGCCGTGGAGAAGTTAGATGGGCCGAGCCGTGGAAAAGTTCAGATGGGCTGAATCGAGGCCTTGAGAGACGAAGCCCATAAAAACCCTAGGCGAAACACAAAGGCGGTGAAACGCACGAGACGATAAGGAAATATTTCGAAAATCTGTCCCGAGATTCTCGGCTAGGCGGTTCGGAGAATTAGTATAAATAGATGATGTATACAATTCATTCTGTAACTTTTGCAACCCTAAGCAATAAGAGCTAAACAATTTTACAGCAAGAAAAACTTTCTTTCGATCTTACTGTTCTTGACGATAAACCCTAGAAGTCTCCGATCCCTTAAGTCTTGGTTAAACAAATTTCTGGTTGTGCGAGTTTTTGCTCACACAACCATGTAAATCATGCTTTACCTTCACCATGTTCTGTGCTATGATCCTGGCAAAGCAGGCAAGTCGTGAGTCATCCATAAATGGAATCTGAAGTGTAATGAGCTCGGTCTTCAAAACACATCCCATGTTGGCTCTAGAGAAAATCGTGTGTGCTAAGAGTTTGTGCACAGCTCTCACTGCAGGACGAGTAAAAAGGGCTGACTTGGATCTCCCGCTATCATAGACGACATGACCTATCTCTCTCTATAGGTCAAAATCGGGTTCTTCTACAAGGTGAATGCCATCAGTGTATGGAAGCTTAACAGCTTCACAAAGTGAAGGAATGGTGAGTGAGTAAGTCTGTCCGCGGATTGAGAATGACACGATGTCGTCAGATGCTTTGGGGTTCCTCCGCTTCGTGTGGTGGAAGGTGACAGTTGCTAAGAACTCGCGGACTAGCTCGGGATAAGTTGGAAGGTTCAGCTCCATGTAGGGTCTCAGCTTAAGTGCATCGATATACCAGATTACATCTTCTCTAATTCTAAGCATCTCGAGTGTATGATAATCAATGCAAGGCGTAGGTTTGATGTTCAGCTTCTTGAAACGTCTTGCGTAGTCCACTCTCGGGTTGATCTCTTTCCCAATGTATTGGATCTGTGGTGGCTCGGGAGTTGCTCGTGTTTCTCTTGGGTGCTGGAGCAACCTCATCATGTAGTTTCTTCTTCTCGGTCTGGCTTGGTTCAGCATGTACTCTCCAAGAGTAATTTCATCGGGAATGTCCTCAGAGTTGTCACCAGTGCGATGGCTTCTTCGGGATCTGTTTTGTTCCATTTTTTCTTTCTTGTCTTGTACGCAACGGGGGTTTAAAACTTACGGAAAATCTTGACGGGCTTTACCGGGAATGCTCTGGGAATCACCGGGAAACCACCGGGATTCACTAGGAATCACCGGGAATTACCAGGAAACACCAAATAACAACGGGAAATCACCGGGAATCACCAGGAATCACCAGTAATCACCGGGAATCACCGGAAATCACCGAGAATCACAGGGAATCACCAGGAATCACCAGAAAACACCAGGTAACACCGGGAAACACCGGGAAACACCAGGTAACTTTTGAAAGCGGCGGAAGTCCAAGTTCCCATCTCAACGACCAACGGCCGCGGTCAAGAGACACGCGACCGTGGTGATTATAGGCTCGGCCGCGATCACATTCACGGTGCCGCGGTCGATGATGCTTTGGCCGCGGGTCGGTTGGTCGTGACCGCGGCCCTTTTTACTGCGGCCTTCGTCCAACTTTCAGGTTTCTGCTGGGCCGAGCAGCTAAAGACCTCTCATTCTTTCTCGGTTTTTCTAATTTTCTGATTTTTTTGTGTTTTTGTTTTATAAAAATACCTGAAACTTAAAAGAAAAAGGGAACATAAATTCTAAAAAGAAAAAGAAAACTAAAAGAAAGAGTACCTAAATGGGTTGTCTCCCATTAAGCGCTTTTGTTTTAAGTCGTTTAGCTTGACGTAGGCATGAAAAGTCAGGCTGATTTGAATGGCACTCCACTTGATGTGCCTTTATCATTTCCGGTCGCTGGAGGTTTAACTTCCTCTCCTTGAGGAGCCGTATTCTTTCCTTTACTCTTCTTTCGGTCTTTAACGTTGTTTAAAACCATTTTGGTGTTTTCGATCAGCTCCTGGATTTGGTCCTCACTAGTCTCTGTCGCATCCGGTGAAATTATGATCTTGATCTTTGCAAAGGCTTTCGGCTTCTCCTTTTCTTTCTCTTTTGGCCGGTTTCCTTTGCTTGGAAAATCATCTAGGATAGTCGGATAAAACCTTCTGCGATCTACATTGAGGAAAACAGCATGCCGGTTCGCGTGATCAATTACAGCTCCTACAGTAGCTAGAAATGGTCTCCCGAATATGAGTGGTCTCTCCTTGTCTTGATCCATTTCCAGGACTTGGAAATCTGGTGGAACAATCTTGTCTCCTACTAGAACTTGTAGATCATGAATCGCCCCTTCAGTATCCTTCTGAGATGAATCTCCAAAGATAACCTTGACCGTCGATGTCTTGAATGTTTTATGCCCAATTTTTCAGCAAATGTCTTTGACATGATGTTGACATTGGTTCCGGAATCGCACAGACAGTCCGTGAACTTGATTCCTGAAATGATACATTGGAAAACAAAACGTCTCGGATCGTCGGCTTTTGAGGTACCTTGAATGGTGGTTGCTTGGCATCGACATCCTTGTAAAGTGGTACAAAGACTAGGGTTTCTTCATCCTTTCCATCGGTTCTGGGTTCTTCTTCGGGCAGTGTGGTTATGGCATTGTAAAATCTCTTGGGGTTATCCTCAACTCTTCCGGGAAGAGCTCCACTTTGCCTCTTCATAGAGTCGGCTGTTTAGGCAACTTGTACGTCTAGCTTTTTGACGTGCGAAGATAAAGCTTCAAACTTCCCGTTTAGGTCATTGTACATGCAGTCAACCTTCACGTTCATGTCTTTAGATGCTTTCTCGTTTGTCATAACAAGTTGTTGGATGGACTGTTCCAGTCTTCCGATTTGTGAATCTAGCTGGTTTGTTGTTACTCCTTGCTCTTGTACAAATTGATTATTAAAACCCGTACCTTGATAGTTATATGGCTGTCGTGGTTGATAAGCTCCTGTCCCTCCAAAGTTTC